ATGTATGTATGTATGTATGTATGTATGTATGTATATGTGTATGTACGTATATCTTTATATGTATTTATGTAGAAGTACATAAGCATAGAAATCATTTTGACAATGTACTTTTTACATCGTTATCTACGATCCGCTCAGCTTGATCACATCGAGTATGTCGAATCAAATCGAGTTATGAGCATTCAGTATCGGATCGATGTTTTTTTTTTTTTTTTGGTAATATTTACCATAGAAATGCATCTCGATTATATTTAACGAACAAAAATTCGTTTCGAGTGTAATATATTTATGTGTATACATCCGATTTTGGATACCCGATAATCCGATCCTGATATGCTTTATTATCTAAACTCGCGTGTGCAACATTAGGACCAAAAAAAGTCCCGTGGGCATACGCGAAGATAAAACAGTCTTTGTGTAAAAAGAGTCTTCGTATATGCGTGGCGCGCGTCGATGTTACATATCTTAATATTTATTACCTAATAAAACAAACGAAACTCGCCGCCGTCTATTATGTAATTAGTAATGCATCGGCAACTAATTAATTTGAATATTTTCCTTGAAATGAACCAAGTTTTTTTGGTCTTCAACGCGCGAAGAATGTGGACAAAAGATTCTCAAATAAAACTTTTTAAAATACATATATGTATTTCGAAACGGTGTATACATAAGATAGTACATCAGAAATAACATTTTCTTTATCATTAAAAATACGAAAAAAATGAAAAAAGTTATTTATGAATAGAAATGATAATTTAAATAATAATATAATATTTCTTGAAAAAATTTTTTTTGAATTTTTATTTTTATACTTTTTCGTATTTGCAACGAAAAAGCAAATAATTAAAATTTATATAATAATTACGTCATTTCTGACAAATTATCTTATATACATTACTAGTGCTACCAGCGACAGCATCATATTCTCGTATTATATCATTGATTATGTGATATATACCGAGAAAAAGATTTAACCTATACCAATGATTATATATTTTTTTCTGAAGTAATCCATATTACACTGCAGATTCTTACTTTATAATACGTCTAATAATATCCGAAATTTCGTTGCATTTTCTATATTTTTTTTTTCAAATAGAACGATATTGCTAATGATTATAATGATTGCAACTACTTTATCGATATTATACTACGAATCTATAAAATTGTTTACAGTTAATAGGAAGATGGTGTTCAAAATTTATAATTACTAACACATTTCTACATTTGTATGTATGTTCACATAAATATGTGATATTATGAGGCATTCGACGGAATATTAAATACAGTCGTAGCGAGTAATTAAGAGCACAAACCGCCATTTTCAGCAAGCACAAACCAATGAAACTTCAATGGGCTGTCATTGATTGATTAGGAGCACTGTACTCTTTGATATTGACCTGTTTAAATCCGTTAATATAGTTTGTGCTCGTAGAAAATTCATCGAAGCTTCTTTTATATCCATTTTCATACTTCATTTTTTCTTTCTCTTTTATTATTTTTTATATATATAGTACTTAATGTACAATAAAATGATATCAAATATTGAATCTAATATATATAATAGCAATAATATTATTTAAAAAAAAACATTAATTTTTAATAAATTTAAATGAAAAAATGAAAAATTTATGTAATTTAAAAAAAATTTTTGAGAAGGATTTTATAAGATTTAATATTTTTTTTTATTTTAGTATAATTTTTAATAATATATTTTAACATCGCAGATATCATTCATATCTAGAATATAAAATGATTGCCGAAAAGATTTGTTTAAAAA